GACTTCTGAAGATAATGACACTGGCAGAAGAGCAAAGAGGCATAGCCTTTTTGGCTATAGGAAATGAATACATTTGGGCTGGATACAGAAGAAAACTTGCAAGTATTAGAGAAATTACATTCTGGACCAACATTGCAATTAAAGATAGAGCATGGTGCTAAACAAACTTTCTTTTAAAATAGTGATTAATAAGTTGAAGAACATAATTACCCAAACCAATTACTGTGACAGCAGCCTTCCCTCCAGCTGTATCCTGAGGGTTCAGCAGGTGCAATTGACTCTGTCTTTGATTAGAAAATGAACAGAGGTGCAGCTAAAAGCAGGGAGTACCTTCCTGATTCAAAGGCTTAGCAGACTTTGTTCTGCAAAGATGTTCAAAAACATCTATTTCAGTCATAGACAAAGGAAATAGTGAAGCAACTTGCCAGTCAGCCATCTCAACAGAAAAATCACACACAAGATAACAATTTTGCAAGCTGCCATTTTCTTGAACTAGATAGAAATTTTAAAAGAACTAGAGTAATTTTCTTGAACTAGAAGTATTTTAAAAGAACAAATGTTGTGAGAAGTTAATTTTCAATCTGAATTTCAGTTTGGGATTTGTTTTTATATATGTTCTTTGAGAAGATTGGTCAGAATACAACCAGATAAGTACCATTCAGTTTGGAAAGACTCATTAAGTAATTTTGAAAAATTGACCCCTCAACAGGAAAAAACCTACACTCAAACAGTTTCTCCAATAACATATTGATAGTGATGTTCATCTTACAACACATACGTCAAGATTTTCATATTCTTATCAGGCAGCAAACTTCAAGTTCAATCAGCAAACTAATTTGACATCATAATTCTCCATTTGACATCTGTTGATACTGCTTCAATCTGTGACTATTATGTATTTACTGGCAAACCGCATTATGGCAATAGCTTTTAAAACTGCAGCTGAAATTAAAACCTGATTTTTCTGTTCTTAAGGCAATAGTGCCATCTAGTGGGAAATATTCAGCTTTGCGTCTTATGCTGGGCAAAGGAGCCCAGAAAGCCTTTCTTAGACAAACTATTCCTCAAGAAAAAGAGATGTATTTTTTTTTTCCCTTAAGTTGGTTCCCTCCGGTTAATACATAAACTTTCATCTAAAATGCTCACTAGCCCTTTCTAGTCATTCTGGTAAGGTTTCATAAGGTTTTTGCTCTGCTCCAAGGTGTTCTACAAAACACAGCCCCTGTCTGGGTAGGTGTCTAGGGAGCCTACCAGGAGGGTAGGAGGCAGAGCACCCAGCCCAACTGCAAGTAGTGTTACCCTGCATTGTACAGCAAGACCAGCCTCGCCAACCAAGTCCATGCTGTGAGTCCTCAGCTCTGCTGCATGTGTTACACACCCACACACAATGGCCAGCCACATCTTAACCCTGCTTCTTCTGGCAACCTTTTCAGACTCTTTTATCTGATTTTGTGCCTCCTCTCCTTTTAATGGCTTTTTCCCTCAGTTTCTGCAGAGTCAAACAAAAACATCTCACATTGCAGAGAGCACCTGACACCTTTTTACATTTAAAATGCTGTCTGTCCTGCAGAGTGTAAACAATGAGGATGCATCTGGTTTTTCCACAAGCAGTGGGTCTTCTTTATTTCCTTTTTAATAATGGAGGTTATGCTTGCCCTTTTCCAGTTTATGTGAACTTCATGGGACTGCCATGACTTCTCAAACACAATGGATAGTGGCTCAGTCATTTCCTTGGCTAGTTCCTGTGGATATTACTCACCAGATGTCAGGGACTTGTGCACCTTTGGGTTCCTGAGGTGTTCTCAAACTCATTCTCCCACAGAAGACAGTTCTCTGTGGAATCTCATCCTGCTAAGATCTTTAGCTCAGATGCTTTTACAGAGGGTTTTGACCTCAGACCATGGCAGACAGTATACTGAGGGGGGACACCTAATCAGGTCACAGTGGGAACCATAGGTTCTTGTGAGTAGTATGTAATAGAACCTCCTATATTTGGTCATTTCCAGTTTCCCTTCTCTGTTGCTTCAGGACATTTTTCTTATAAGGTCATATTCTGAGTTCACCTTCCTGATTGGACCTGTGCCCCTATACCTGGCTGCATTTACCCCATCCAAAGGTTTTTTGGAATCTAGCCTCTGTACCATGTGCCACCGTTGTTATTTTCATTATTAAAGTTTTTCTTTTCTGGGCTATTCTATCATTCCCGTTCCTCTTTATTAGCCAGCTCCTCCCACCTATGCCAAGTAGGGGGATCACAGTGGGCTTCTAAGCCCGTAGTTCTTCATTCTCCAAATCCTTGATTCCACCTTCTACAACTTTGGCAATGTGGCTGGAGCACTTGCTGGTGGAGACTGAGGCAAAAAAGTCATTGAATACCTCAGTCTTCCCCATGTCCTGGGTAACTAGGTCTCCTGTATTCTTCCTGAGAGGACCCATATTTTTTCCTAGTCTTTCTTTAATTGCTGATGCACCTGAAGGCATTTTTTTTAGCTATGATGCCCTTGGCAAATTTACTTTTGCTGGTGCTTTTGCTTTCCTAAACAGATCCTTGGCTTTTGGGACAATTTCTCTGTGTTTATACCAGGCTACCTTTTCCTATTTCTACCCTCTGTAAGCTACCTGTTTAAGTTTGTCCAGGAGCTCTTGTTCATCCATGCAGTTAATCCTGGTGTTCTTCCCTGATTTCATCTATTTAGAAATACATTGCTTTTCACCCTGGAGTGACATGGAGCCCATGTCATTGTAGCCCAAAAGAGCTACAATATCATGTAGCTCCCTTGGGCTCCTCTACCTTCCAGGGCTCTATCCCACAGCATTCTATCAAGGAGATCCTTGAAGAGACCAAAGTCTGCTTTCCTGAAGCGCTGGGTAGCAAGCTTGCTTCTCACTCTTCTCATTGACTCAAGGATCTCAAACTACACCACTTCATGGTCACTGCAGCTCAGACTGCCCTTGAGCTTCACATTCCCCAGCAGCTGCTCCTTGTTGGTGAGAATGAGGTCCAGCATACACCTCCCCTCATTGGTTCCTCCGTCATTTAGAGAAGGAAGTTACCATCAGTGCACTTCTGAAACCTCCTGAACTGCCTGAGCCCTGCTGTGTTGTCCCTTCAATAGGTATTAGGGTGGTTGAAGTCCCTCATGAGGATCAGGGCTTGCAAACATGAGGCTGCTCCTACCTGTCTGTAGTGGGCCTCATTGACTCAGTCTTTCTGGCCAAGTGGTCTGTAGCAGTTCCCTGCTAATAATGACACCTGTTCCTGCCCTCCCTTTAATCCTTACCCAGTCAGCTCCTCATCCATGCCCAGGCCAAGCTCCATGCACTCCAGCTGGTTGACAGAGAGGGCAACACCATTCATCTCCCATGCCTTTCCTTCATAAAGTGCCTTTGCCCTTCCATTCCCCTCCAGACACAGGAACCATCCCACCACTTCTCAGGATGCTAATATGGTCCATAGCCCTGCAGGCTTGCACACGTCTCTAGTTTCTCCTGTTTACTTCCCATCCTACCCGCTTTTTTTAGAATAGAGGATTTAAGCTGGGCCCCTGGTGAAGCTCTCTGCCTGCAGTGGCTGGAATTCCTTGGTACTATTCCTTCAGGTGTTCTCCATTGATCTGCACACCCTCTCCAGGCTCTGGTCATCTCTTTCTGACTCAGAGAGCCAACTGGTATGAGTGGGATGGCATGTCATCCCACATCTTATCACCGTTAAATTTCTTCAGGTCTCTCTAATTTTTACACTTAAAGTGCAATAAATGCCTACAGTAAGAGATAACTGGACTCACAACAATTACTGATCTATCAACACAGTATGAAAGCCCATTAAGTGTGACACTGAAGAGGCCTCAAATATTTCAAGCCTACAAATACTCAGTGGCACACTTTCAAAATACTTCTAGTATCGAACTACAAATTTTTATTATAATAATTTCTAAGTTAGAATGTATTCAAACAAGGACTATTACTGCCTTGCTAAAGAACACGTGAGCATTCATCCATAAATGTCAATAAAACCCGGGGGATTGCTGGAGTATCGGCAGTTTATGACTGCTCTGTGCAATTTCTGCATTGCAGTTAGAAAATTCAGTTTATCACAGGGATATATTAAAAGGCTGCTGTCTGAGACTGCCACATCCTATGATTATTGCCATTTTCTAAAATTATAAATAAGAACCAATTAATTACATTGTTTTCAAGTAACAGCTAGCCTCAACATTCTGCAACATTCACCATTATATTAAACATCCTATCAAGATAAACTGCATCATTTGGAATCTGGGGGAAGCAAACATTCTAGATGCAATAATTCTATCTCCACCTGCAAGATTACATCATGGGTTCCTGACCACTTTGCAAATTTTGCCAAATGATCCTGTACTGCATAGACTTTTTTTAAAATCAGAAGTGTTTCTAAAATTATAAATAAGCCTTCTATAATACTAAAAAACACACTGAACACAAACTCAATTTGGAGTGACAACCGCCATTCATTGAGAGATTTGAGGTATTTCCAAAGAGAAACGGCACCAGCAAAGTTGTTGAATCCAGTTGTGTTGCACTGCAGGAGGATGTCCAGTTAGCAGCGTCCTGTGGAAGAAAAAGGTACATTTCAGTGCAACTATATTTTCTAAATCTCTAAATTGGGTTGGCTTCAAGATAGGCACACACTTATACTGCCTGAAATCCCTCACTTCACTGTCACAACTTAGCCATCTCTTTGGAATTTGAAAGGCAGGAAGACAGCAGATGTACAGTAGCAAACTGTCTCTTGTGTAAGGAAGGAAGCAAGTTTTACTTACTACAGCACTGGCCACAGTGAAGGCAACCAGCAGAGAGAAACCATGACAATGGTCCAAGTAGAGTGAAAAAACAAGTTTTCCTCCAAGTAAAAAATCTCAGCCTTTTTCCCCCCATAAAAAAAAAAAAAAGGCTATCCAATTTAAGACTTCAGCAAGTATTTTAGAATCAGAGACGTTCAACATGTAATTTTGTTCTTTTGTTCAATCGTTCAAGGGCTTAATGTGAAAACCACGAGTCACTAGGAACCAATATGCCCACTTACTTTTGACCCTCACTGTTGAAAGACTGCGGCTTCGAGGCACCTGCAAGACAAAGAGAAAAGGAAAATCAGGTGTGCTAAAGAACTGTAACAAAAAAAGCCACCTGAGCACCCATCAACATTCAGAAAATCTGCACATCCAGAACATCTGCACATCTATCATTGCAGCTCTACTGTTACTAAGTCAAGTTCAACAACTTTCTATTTTTTTTTTCTGCAGCCTGCACACACACAAAAAAGGGAGCCCTACCCAAAGCCTCTCACATTTTCAATATTCACATTTTAAGTTGAGGGTGCCTATGTCCCTTTAATAAGATGGGCTAAAAACTAGAAAAATATACACATTTTTAACAGAAATAATTAAAAATGTTTTGTAACCATACAATACGCAGAATTCTGCTAAAGTTTCGCATATCTTATTTGTACCACCTTCCCTTCCTGCTCACCCTACATTTATTTTTGGCCCCTTTGATGCATTTCATAAATTAGGAGTAAATTTAGGTTACTAAGTCCAGGAGGCAGGAACTACGTGTTGCATATGTACTCCAAAATGACTGAAACACTTCCAGATGTTGCTATTATTATTCAGAAGGGCACTAAAGCAACAGGAGTAGGGGCAAAGCATTCCAAGATACACATTTGATACTTCTGAGAATTTAACTATGATCTACTTCTCATACAGTATCTCTACAGATCATTATACCAGGCAATAACTATCTATCAGTTCAGCTTCACCTCATTCGAGACTATCAAGCAAAGGCACTTATTCCCAGTGTTAAAATATACATGTGGCACATCAGCATTTTTAACAGGTTGCCTACATTCCTAGTTAAAATAATTGATGCTGCACTACAAACATTTAGCTGAGGCTTACTTGACCACACAGCAGAGGACGGCCACAGCTGCAGCTTCTGCTTCTAATTCTGCATCTGCGAGGACACTACAAGAGAAAAGTAGTCTCTTGTAAGTAAACTTCTCCTGAGAGAGAAGGTTTAATAAAGACACACTTTGCAAGCCATGACAGACTTGCCATGCTGGAGACAAGGTTTGAGGACAGAGCAGAAACACAGTAAGCTTTCTCCTTAGAACAGGTTCTGACAACAACCATACATCTGCATAATTAATACATGAAGGAAAATGGAACTATTCATCCTATATACAGGATGAGGCACTAAAACCTAAATGATATTTGATATACTACTCCACCCATATAGGGGACAGTTAAAAACTTAACTTTTTACATTTTAAAAACAGTGTTGAAATCCACTGACTTCCCTTAACGTATTTCCTTAACAAAATACGTACCATAACCATTTTTTTAGTGACTACTTCTCCCTTCACAATAACAGTACCGTCTTCTATCAGAGGAGGCCAGACGTGATAGGCCACAAAGGGAGCTGCGAAATCTGAGTCAAAGCTACGATAGTACCTGTTGAAACAAACAGTACAAGAAATGTCTGCATATAAGTGCCAAAGGATAAATACGTTCCAAATCATCAATGTTGATAAAAAGTAGCTACAGCTCTAATATCTTTCCACATCACAAAAATATGTATTCTTTATGTGATCCTGTAAAAGAAATGGACTTGGAAGACAGACTTAGCAGAACATACTGTTTACTTATCCTGACAGACATTCTAATAAAGCCATCTCACACTTCAGAAGGCCACTAGACCTTAATTTTTGCTTAAGCCCAACACAAGCCAGGGCCCCTGTGTCCACTGACAGATTAAACCTTCTGAGCAGCAATTCAGCAGACACAGTCATCCCTTCTTCCTGGAATATCTTCCCCCCTTATAGGGGGCTAGAACAAGCCCCCTATAAGGACAAATAACACATCTGGCTTTATGGATTCAAACTCGCAACAAATACCAAATAACAGAAATTGTATTAAAAGCAATGCATCTATACTTAAGTAATCTATTACAATAGTAAATTATTTAAAACAATGTCATAACCAGAGGCACAAAGCAAGGCATAGGGTACAACAATGTTTGGCTGGCTGTTTGTAGAATGCTACACATGTAATAAACAGATATATTTTAATTTCTACAACTTTAATTTGCTCCATCTCTGTGTACCACATACAAATGCTACACATGTAAGCATATACATATGCCACATTTATCTAACTAGATAGACAGATGTACGTGTCTCCCACAGCAGCACAGAAAAACATATTAAATGTGGTTTCTTAAGGCCATACACACCAAGTAGGTGGAGAAAGCATCTCAAGACTATATCACAGTGGTTTTGCTTCCTAATTTAGCCAATAGCTTTGAGTGTCAAAAGCTAACTCTCCTATATTTGCATAGGATCATTGAGTAGTCCTGTATGATTTTGCACTCCCCTGTTGAGAGTCTACTTTCATCTTCTCTGTTTCTCTCCTTGACTTCTCAAGCTCTTCATGACCTCCTTAGTGATGTAAGGTGTTTTGCTTTTTAGAGCAATTTTTATGACCTATCAATTCCAATTATTTTCTAGACAACATGGAAGCACCCTACAGCTCTCTGCTAAAGAAGCAGCTTGACTCTATAGAAAAAAGAAAAATTATTAACAAAATTCTCAATTTTAAGAGGCAGTTTTGATTTTGCCCAGCTCTAAACCAGAAGAGATGGGAGCATATTAATACTCGTATGTTGTACAGCAACCACAACCTGGAGGTTGCAGCAAACATGTTGATGACCCTGGTAATGACACCAGCTGCAAGATCTCAGTAAATATGACTTTTACAGAACAGGCCAGTAAGGAGGAATGAAGATGCAAACATTTTTTAAAAGGCAGATAGAGACTAAGCAGGGAAAGCTGATGATCATATTCTTCTTAAATGATAAATTAAATATGCTCTTGAGACTGGAGTTTATCCAGAAAATTGCTCTGCTGTTCACTAAAAAAAAATTGTTGACACTTATGTACATGCTAGTATTTACACACTATCCTAAACCTTAAAGACATACCAAATTCACTACAGGCCAGGGGTTTTTGCCCTAAATTAATGTTTAGCAATCTTGAACTGCTATATTAATTAGGAAACAAGTAGACTACAAAACCTTTAATGGTAAGTCTGACTGAATTTAAAATTTCTTACATGTTCCTATTGAAGCATTCTCCATCAACACCATAGGCAATATCAAGAGGAGGAATAAGTGTCTGCATTGAATAAGCCAAACAGCACAACTCTCGAATCAAAGCGCTGATCACAACGAAATCCAATTCTCCTGGACATGGAAGCTTTGGGTTCCTGTTCATGCAGCAAACTACTTCCTGAAAATAAACATACACGAGTAATTTGCACTCACTAACCATTTTTTTCACAAGCAACTACAGAAATCCCCCCTAAATATGCCTCTCAGCTTTCTACATTTAAAAATCAGTATAAGAAGCTCATAGTAATGTTGCCCTGGACTATTCCAGAAAACAACAATTTCAGAAAGAATGTGCTGCTATGAACAAACCAAGGAAGCTATTACTGAGTCATACACATACTAATCCTAGCAATATTGTTCCAGAAAATAAACTGCTACAAGACAAAGTCCATACAGTAACTCTCTTCTCCTTCAGGTTACAGTGCATTTCTAATTTACATATTCTGAATTTACTAGCTTCTGAAAGAGATCACCACTGCCTTCGACTTACATGGACACTGCAACAAACGTCATAGAGATCCTTGTGGCAAGCTATATAATCCAGGACAGCAACTTCAAGTGACGTAGGTCCCCCTCTGTAACATATACTCAAAGTGTCTTTTACATTTATTTTCACCTTCCAGAAGGCCATCTTTGCCGCACGGAAAGATTCCTGCAAAAGTAAAGAACATCTAGTTAAACACAGGAGACTCAGTTTAATATTTTATCAGTTATCTGAGAAAATTAATTTAACCCACTATCATCAAAACAAGGAGGAATATAATACATTGCTGTAAAGGAGATTAACTCATGAGGAAGGAATTCTCTGATTGAGTGTAATTTATTTGCAGAAGATAAGATTGAAAAGCTTCATTTGCTGGGAAAAGAGGTTGAATTGGAGAGTGTAAACTGAACGATGATTGAAAGAAAAAATCTTCAGTAAGTAAAATGTGCTTGGGATCACACACATTAAGAGATGCTGCATCTCTAATACAGGTATGTGTTACACCATTTTTATAGAAAAGAAGATTCAATACAGAAAAAATGAAGACTTTCTTCAAACTGAGTTCATGGTAAATGTGGGGTATCTAGATGGTTTCAAGGGACCCAATTAAACTAAAAAAGCACATAGCTACAAGCATAAGGAAAGCATGATACAGAAAGATTTTTAGCTTTTTAGTGTTGTAGTATTTAATGCACCATTCCCAAAAGAATTTTTCTAACTAAGGCAATGTTGATCACTGCAGATACTATGTACTTTTCAGACCAAATCACTTGACCAATTTCAGATTAAATTTCACTCTTTTAGTACCCATACAATAAATCATTGACCCTGTTCCAATCTTGGGACAGGTCAGGTAGGACACTACATTGAGAGTTCAATGTAGAAGTGTGAGGCGAAGAAAGAAAAATCAAAATAAAAAAGGGAAGAAAGCTTTTCTTCTCTGCACTTGACAGAAATGCTAATTTACCCACAATTTAAACCACTGCAGACATAGTATTTTACAACACACCTCCAGCCTGTAAAATAAGAAATAATATTTCTTTCTCACCACACATGCAATGTATATTATCCTCTGCACCGTCTCCAAGTTACAGACGTATCGCCTCAAAATGCACTCTGCCTCCAAGCGTTCTTTAGCGTAAATGAAGTTATAGCGAGCTATAAGGCAGGCGCGGTGTGAAGCGCTGCCCCGCCTGAGCCGGGGAGGTGAACAGGGCCTTGGGCAAAGGGCACGGCACTTGGGAGGACAGGGCGTCACGCAGGGTCTCGCGCAGGGTCTCACGCAGGGCCTCACGCAGGGCCTCACGCAGGGCCTCAAACGGCACGGCAGAGGAGAGATACAGGGCCTCACACAGGGCCTGGCACAGGGCCTGATACAGGGCCTGACACAGGGCCTGACACCGCACAGCGGAGGAGAGCAGGCCCTCAGACGGCATGGTAGAGGAGAGCAGGCCCTTGGACGGCAGGGTAGGCACGGTGGAGAGCAGGCCCTCAGACGGCATGGTGGAGAGCAGGCCCTTGGACGGCAGGGTAGGCATGGTGGAGAGCAGACCCTCAGACGGCATGGTGGAGAGCAGGCCCTTGGACGGCAGGGTAGGCACGCTGGAGAGCAGGCCCTTGGACGGCAGGGTAGGCATGCTGGAGAGCAGGCCCTTGGACGGCAGGGTAGGCATGCTGGAGAGCAGGCCCTTGGACGGCAGGGTAGGCACGCTGGAGAGCAGGCCCTCACAGGACATGGAGAGCAGGCCCTCGGAAGACATGGAGAGCAGGCCCTCACAGGGCATGGAGAGCAGGCCCTTGGACGGCATGGAGAGCAGGCCCTCACAGGGCATGGAGAGCAGGCCCTCGGAAGACATGGAGAGCAGGCCCTTGGACGGCATGGAGAGCAGGCCCTCACAGGGCATGGAGAGCAGGCCCTTGGACGGCATGGAGAGCAGGCCCTCACAGGGCATGGAGAGCAGGCCCTTGGACGGCATGGAGAGCAGGCCCTCGGACGGCATGGAGAGCAGGCTCTCGGACGGCATGGAGAGCAGGCCCTCACAGGGCATGGAGAGCAGGCCCTCGGACCGCATGGAGAGCAGGCCCTCGGACCGCATGGAGAGCAGGCCCTCGGAAGGCATGGAGAGCAGGCCCTTGGACGGCATGGAGAGCAGGCCCTCACAGGGCACGGTGGAGGAGAAATACAGGATCTCGGAAGGCATGGTGGAGGAGAGATACAGGCCCTCAGACGGCACGGTGGAGAGACACACCTCCGGCGGCATGGTGGAGGAGTGCAGCGCCTAAGCCTACAACACACATGCAAAGAAGCTTCATGTCACTTTACCATCCTCAGATGCTTTTCCCTATGGCAGACTTCTTCATCAATTTAATTTTTACAAGGGTAAGGTGAGTTTTGAGCCAAAGTAATTAAAGAAGCTACAGCTGGTTAGTCTAATATGAAGGCATTTTCATAACATGTTTTATGGCCTAAAGCATAAATGGTAAAAGAAAAGTAACATGTAAAGCATATAAGGCAAAGCACTTTGTTCCTAGGAAACACACTTTTAACTAATAATATTTTGGAGATTTGTTCCTCTTTCAGTACCACTGAAGAGTACTGCTGAAGTCAAACAAGTAAAAATTGAATACTACAACTACAGAGCAGAACTCTATAAAAGAGGACTCATCAATAAAAGAACTATTTCATACAGCTGCTCTCCATGTATTTTGTAAAGGTGCATTATTTGCTGTTTTGTCTGAAACCTAACATAATTGCTTTAAAATAAAATATTTGGGCACTAGAACAAATAACCTAAAGAGTTTATGTTCCTTCATAACAAAGTAAAAAACCTTGGCTTTTGTTTATATTTCAATTTAAATGAGGAAGAAATTCATGCTACCTAACATGACTGATTTCTATGATTCAGTGACTTCTCTGAGTAAGGTCTCTACCTGCTCTGGATAACAGACTTTTTGCAATCCAGCATAGCAATCTCATCCCGCAAGTTCTCAATCTTCTGCTCGTACTCATCCAGTTGCTCTAGCCTCCTTAAGTTGCACCGGGAAGCTTTCAGACTTAATCACACAGAACAGTCAGTCACAAGATGTCCTTCTATCAATGTAAACTATCTATCAATTAATCCTCATCATCAAACAAAAGGAGAAAAAAAAACAAGTTTATCTTCTGTCCTTTACTCTTAGTTAATATTAAAAACTATCCCAAAATCTCTGCTTTCTGTCCAAATACCAGTATTACTGTTGTTTTTCTCTTACCAAAAGTGGAAGGCAAAAAGAAAATATGTTTTCTATTTATTTTGAAGGTATTCACTCTGTCCTTCCTTTTCCTTACTGGAGGACCCTGGTGAGATTTTTTTGAGACTCTGAATCAACAAAAGCTCTAACACTTATCAATTGATAGGATTCTTGTTCCACCTTTTTAAGGAACAAGCTGACTGAGATGACCACAGGTAATAAGGCCAGCAACATCTGCTAAGAGGAAAGACTGCCCACTTCCATCCTAAGTCAGCTCCTTCAGGAAGGACTTCTAGCAGAACAGTAGTAAAAGAGGGCTAAAGAATTCTACCACAAAGGACAATTGGGAAAGAAAAGCAGATTTGGGAAGATGAGCTCTAGAAATAGGCATGGGGGAAATCCAAACTGATATTCTTCGAATCACTTAGTAAGGGCAGGAAATTATATCACTTAATGTACTGACCCAAGACTTACAGAACATTCATTGTTCTCATGGTAATAGGATGCATGAGAATGGGTCTGCCACTTCGAGCTACCTCTTAAATGGCCGTGGAACTGGTAATTACTGCACAAACTTGTATCTGAAGCAATTTATTAACTTTTATATTATAATGCTCCATAAAATATGTTTTATGCAACTAGACAAAAACTTTTCAGGCCTAGTCACTCATCTGGAAATCCAACTCTCTTCCTCCATCTTATGACAATGGCTTTTATCTTCTTGGATATTTATGTATCAAAAACATTGTATAATTAATTGTGACATGTTGTAGGTCCTTCAATAAATGTTACACTGTAGCTACTCAATTGTTTTTTTTATTTAGGGTTTGCTTAGCATGCAACATTTCATAGACTATAACTCCCCAAGGGATTGTCATGGACTATACAAAACCTTTTTATGTAGAATACTGGCATGTTTTTCAACATCTCTGTCAAAAGCAAAACCTACCAAGTCAATTTATGAATGTGGGTGTGACTGTATCATTTGTACCCTACTTTGGATAGATACACACTTTGGATATATATGTGCACGATACAGAGCTCAGATGCATTTTGAAACTCTGGTTTTAGGCCAGAAATAAAACATTTTACAAATCTCCATCAATATTTAGACATCAAGGGAAAAAAAAAACCAAAAAGCAAACAGAGGGAACTGCAGTTAATCTCCCTACTCTCGTTCCATCTGGTTGATCTGCACACGAGTTTCACTTAGTTTGTCTTCCAGGTCTCGCAGTTCACACCTTGGTTTGCAGGACAAATCTCTCAGCTGTAGCTCTCCTTCAGCTGAATCCTACCAGGAAATGAAGTCACACTGCTTGAATGTTCTACCTTATAAATTCCCCCAGTAAAGTACTAGAGCATAATGGGCAGATGTATTTCTAAATATTTCAGCAATGACCATTCCTAAAGAAACTGAGAACAAAAGCTATTGCATTCTCTCTAAGACATAAGCAATACCTTTCAGGCACACCAAAGAAAGACTCAGTTATAGAAAGTAAAATATTCACTTATTTTATACCTCATCGTAGAAATTATGGAAGGTCAGCATATGCAGATTTACTGCCTGAATCATCAGAACAAAGCATTTTGCAGATGTGTTGCATAGTTGGTTTTTTTCAGTTAGTCAACTCCTGATTGACTAAATCACCAACTCAAGTAAACATTTTGAGAATTCATGTGTACAAAACAACAGAAAAAGTTATTAGAACACAGAAGCAAGTATCATTCCAGAAAGCACACTACTATACATGCAGCTGCCTTTAGCAACCCATAGAATGGCCAGCTAGTACTGGAATTAAATTAGTAACTGTGCAACAGGCTTTTCTTTAAATTTTGAATGTCACATGCAATTACAAATCTGCAACTGGTATTCCTGGAGTACTGTCATTTAATAACTTTGTTGTTTTATATTTTGGGAGGGTTTCGGCATACCACCACTCCTGCTTTATAATAGACTCTAACTCTTAAGGGATATCACTTTTTATTTGTCCTATTTTAATTGTGAAATATTTTGACAGAGCAGGTGTAAAACTGAGAAAGCAAAGAACATGGAGACATCACTGTCAAATCTCAGGATCTTGAAGATCTTCCCCTAGCCTGAATTAGCAAAGTCTCTTATTTTCATTCAAACCAGAAAGCCACAACAGATCTGTCTTTTCTGTTAATATCAAACTGTTAGTATTACAACCCCTTCAGTAAATACCAAATACATATGAACTCCAAATATCATGGCAGGAGCATAGTGGTATCATGACACACATGAACACTTTTTTTTTTAAACACTCTAGGAAATAATATAATGTTAAGATATCCTTAGAGTTTTTTCCTTAAAAAAAAAAAAGGAGCTCACAGATTAATGCATGGAGTTTATGCACACCTTCAGCTTACACATGTATTTTCACAGTGCTCTTTTTTCTAAAAGAGATATGGCATAAATACTGCTATTATGTCTCTGAAATGTAAATGTAAATGGCAAATCTGTACCTAGAAAAGGAAAGCAGTATAATAACACAGACTTCTTATACAAAGCAAATTCATCCATAATAGCATAGTTGTCTCCATAGGTGTCTCCACAAGCAACTAAGGACATATTTCATTAAGTAAAATCTGAGGGAGGCTAATATTAACAGAAAGTCATTAAAGTGCTTCTGCAGGTATAAATTCACCTAGTTCTATTCCCTTAAAATAAGTTTCTTACACACCTGAGTGAGGTTGTCACTTCCTGAAGCAGTACAGCATATACTTGGCAGGAGACAGCCTTTTAGTTTTGCTGCACAATCATCTACGAAAACACATACATTAAGAAATAGTAAGAACACGTACAGAAAAAGCCAGAGTTGGAAAAAATGGCACATGTGAAATGTGTAAGTAATTAGACAAGGCATCAATTTACCTCCTTGAGATGTTTCATTGAGAATTGAGAAGAGCTGCTTTTGAATTGCATTGTTCAGTTCTAATATTTCACAGCATCGGCTCAGATTTTCATCAGCAGAATTCCCCTGTAAATTAATGTGCATTTTTACATCTGTGTGGGCTTTCTTACTTAAAGTTACTCCTGTTACAATCATGTCACAAACCCCCCCATAATTACATCTTCCCAACCTTTTCTTACTGGATCCATTAGAATACTCATTTTTGAATACTCATTTCTAATACGCAAATGAGCAAAACATCAAGACTTCTATGACCCAATTCATTCACTACTTGAGAAAGCATACTCCTTTTCCATCATAAAGAGGATGCAACCACAAGTTGAGTTAAAATCTTTCAACAGTTATTAAAATAATAATCTAGCAGATTGTTGGATTTTTAAAAATAGCCCAAAATCTGGTTTTCCATATTAGCTGAAATAATAGATATAAGGCTCTTATCTTGCTTTGTCAGCAGTCACATGAAGCCTCCATGCAATTTAACCTCATATTTAAGAGTTACAAACTGAAACATATACTACTGAAGGAGCAAAACCCAGCATTATGCCTAGGAAACAGCAAAACTACATCACTTTCATTAAGTGCAATTTTGAAAAGGAGTTGATTAGGTTAATCTGTTCAGGGTACTACTGCACCTTCCAGAAGAATACACACTTTGTACCCACTTTCCTTATCTTTACCTATAACTTGTGTATCACCTTCCACATAGATCACCCTCTAGGTCTTCAGGGAAGTTTTTACAAGCTTCCGAAACAGCTGAAATTCCCACCCATGCCCCCATCAGCTTGTGTTTTGACTGCTGCAACATGCTTTCCTCAGGCCTTGGGGAGTGCAGTAAACCTGCTCACCTCCACAAGACCACAGCTGCAAAGTGCATTTTTCCAGCTCATTACAGCAACATAACACAGTATTTCCATCTGGCAGCTCCTCTTTTTCTGCAACAGCAGCCCGAAACTGTTCATCTTCATTTCCCAAGACCATAAAGACTATTCCTAACCAACTTTTGATGGAGAGGTCAGCTCCCACTGCCGCTTAGCCCTCCTAAGTTCTACCTCCAACAACCATTTGCAAGATTTTGAAATACATGACACTGTTCCTCCTCTGGCCTCCTCTGTGGTAGCTTTACCAGCTACTCCCAAACTCCTTAAAACTGTCCTCTGCCATGAATCTTGCAGACAGTTACTCTGGCTATGTAACTGTAACTCCTATTCAACCATGAAGTAAAAGAAAAAAAAAATTATTTCCCCTGAAAACACTGCATTTCTTTTCTCATCAACCACAGCACACACAGTAGGTGGTTACAAGCTCGTGACCAACTATCTGCATCCCGGAGGTACAGAAACCTGGGGATGCCGGACGGAAAACTCTATCAAGATTTTTTTTCCACTGAGCAAAGTCACAGCTGTGAAGTCTCATCTTTCCCTAATTTTACACTTTCTCTACTGCTTCCACTGTTTCACCTCCTCACCTCACTCCTGCATGGACTCCATCTCACCCACCGGCAGCCCTCTGCTCATAACGGCCGCTCCTCCCGCACCGCCCGCCGTTTCTGAAGCCGTTTGGCGGCCGTGCCGCGCGCTGCCTTCTAACAGCCTTTCTCCCGAACGTTTCCCCACCCAAAAGAGCTGGGATGCTGGATAACCCCTTCCTTCTCACTTCCAGCAGCCTTTTTCCTCATGTTTTCCTGACTGTTCCTGGGCCCCAACCCATTCCTTCTGAGCATGACCCCAACCGTAGTCCTTTCACCGGCCGTTTTTCAACGCTCTCCTCTCTTCTAAGCACAGCCGGTACCGATCAAATCTCACTTTAAACCTCCAACCCTTCTTTTTAGGGAACCTTGTCACGGACAAAAAGCCAAATAACCGAAGCTGTGGGAGCTTAACAGGGTGTTAAAACTGCGCTAACTGGACGCGCCTTCCTGGCAGTGTCCCAGACCGCCCGTGAAACGCCGAGCGAGGGCGGCTGCCTCTGGCCCCGAGGAGTGGCAGGACTCACCTCGTAGTTCTGCTGCCAGCTCTCCAGCTTCTCTTGCAGCTCCCGGGCGCTTCCCGCGCCCACCAGGCTCTTTAAGTCTTTGGCCATGGCTAGATGTCAGCTCGCTCTGCTGTCCCTTCGGCAGTATTCTTCGGGCGGCGCAGGTGTAATGGAGATGGTAATGCCAGCCCGGGCCCCTTCCCTGGGCTTGGCCGCGTCCGAGGGCTTCCACAGCCGCGGTGGTGTCTCAACGGCTGGCGCGGCGATGGCGGTGCCACGGTACTGGGGGCTGCGAGGAGCCTCGCGGGGCGCGTGGACGGTTCGCGGCCGCCAGGTGACGCTGCCGGGTAACGACGGTGCGCGCGAGCCGCGGGACCCGGCGCGCGGAGCGGCACCAGGGGGCGCTCGCGGGCCCCGCGCAGCGGCGGCGGCGGTGGCGGCGGGGAAAGATGGCGGCGGCCGCCCCCGAGCAGGTCCGTCCGCAGCGGGACGCGGGCACGGCGCGGCGCGGCGCCGTCCCCGCCGGGGCCAGGGGGGAGCGGGGCCGCGGGGAGCAGGCGGTCCGGCCGGGGGTGCTGCCCGCGGAGGGGAAGCGCGGGCGGGAGCGCCATTTTCGCCGCGGTGGGCGAGGCTGGTGTGGTGCCGGAGCGCTCCGGCTGGGGAGGGGAGAGACGGCGCTCGGGCGGCCCTTCCCGCCTTGTGCCCGGACAGTGTTCGGACGGGACGGGCTCGGGGAGACACGGCCCGAGCCTGCTGTCCGGGCGGGGCGGCCCGGAGCGGCGCCGTCCTGCCCGGAGGCGTGGGTGTGTGACTGACAAATACTTCGTGCTCTGTGTGAGGCGCCTGGCATTGGAGCGGTGCGGGAACGCCGCCGCCGCGCCTGTCGGGGCGTTTGGCGCTGCCGAGGGGGCGGGAGGCAGCCGTGGGTGCCTGCGGGACTCCGCAGCTCGTGTGGGCTCTGCAGGGTCACAGGGGGTCCAGAACATCTCCGAGGCAGCGAAGCCGCCACAAACTCGTCCAGGTCAAGCACCTTTCTCAACACCATCTCTTAATAGTTCTTCAACAGCAGAAGAAAATACGGTGTTGTTACTCATTACATCAGTGTAGATATGTGCAAGTGTAGTTACTTAAGGTGTAGCTTTAGGGTTCATTTCAAGTGAACAAACTTAATTCCATCCAAAAGATCAAACTCCTTCTTTGAAGATGTGAATCCCTAAGTAACAAACCGTTCCCTTCAAGGGAAGCGGAACAAAATTTTGGACAGCTACGAAAATACATCAAAGGTTTATTTTTACTATGAATATGTACAAGAGTTTCCTCTATTACTTTGTTATATTGACAGGATATCCCTTACAATCTCATAACTTCAGATTATTACATGAAAGCTATTCTGGCCAAGTTCCCCATGCCAGGTTTGAAGTCTCACAGTATCTTTCCAATGCTGCGTGCAAGCAACAGGAGTTGAACGCAAACCCTGTGCTGTCAAACTAATTTAAAAACTGTATCCACCACACTCTTTTTGAATAGTCACTGGGAGTCTATCACATATGAGCATGGAGGGAACTAAAATCCTGTGTATTGGCAGATGACCTGCCAATTATGTCCCATATCATCCCTGAGAGGTAAAAACTTAATTAATTTCTTGGTAGCTGGTTTTAGTTTTTTAACTGTAACAATATAATTAATCATTCTATCTGCCATGATAAAAATGAGATATAAAGCCATATATTGTCTGAAAGTATCTGGATTTTAAATTTAGTCATTGTGCTAGCAGAGGTTGCTGTGGTTCTAAGTGTACATTCTGACAGCCAGCTGCCAGACTTAAATCTAATACTGAACATAATATCCAATATATCCCACTAGTCAATTTACATTTTTTGCATACATATGTGTGTGCCACTGTAGGTAATTTGCATGCCTTTTAAAGCTGACCCATGCCTTGTGTTACAGCAAAGCTCTAACGGCCCGGTGAAGAAGTCTATGCGAGAGAAGGCTGTGGAACGCAGGAATGTTAATAAGGAGCACAACAGTAACTTCAAAGCAGGATACATCCCGATTGATGAAGACCGTCTCCATAAGACAGGGTTACGTGGCAGGAAAGGCAACTTGGCCATATGTGTGATTGTTGTTCTTTTTATTTTGGCTATCATCAATCTGATTGTGAGTATAATAGCTATAGTGTAAGCAACATTAGGTCATATTTCATTTTGACAGTTCAGTAAAAAAAAAATGTTTCCAGTATGGCTGAGGATTTAAAACATACTGAAGGAGATTCTCATTTTTCTTCTTTCTTTTTAGTTCTTTTTTAGTCTGAGCAAGGTTAGATGGAAGAATGGTGTAAGTTCAGGCATGAGTATTTTTGTAATAATGGTCACCTCATGAGAAGTGTTATTAGTACATATGCATTCAGGATATATGGCATATAAAACATGGTTATATTTTATCTTACAGAGCTGTATGTGAGCATTCAGAATTAACAAGCCACTATAATTTAAAGCTTCATTGTTCTAATCATCACATTTTTATTGCTTGGTCAATGAGAAGTAACAAATTCTTTTTCATAATTGCACATCCATCTGGGAGGATGCATTCTTGCAGTTCAATATATTATATACCAAGCTGAACTGTTCAGGAAATTTATTTAATTAATTATTACCCTTAAACAGAAAAAAGATATAACTATGGATGTGTTTTAATGTTTCATATATGTATAAATCATTTCAGTTACTGTTTCAAGTAAGTCTAAAAATAATTTAAAATGCTTTTCATAATTAAATGTATTATGATGTTTTCAGTAGGAATAAACTAAAGTCAACTCACACTTTAAGCTCACTTTAATACTGGCATTAATAATTGTTCAAATAAAGCATCTAATTAATACGATTGTGGTAGGAAGATCTGAACAATCAGCATAATCCTTTAAAATGTGTTTCAGATTACCCTGGTTATCTGGGCAGTGATAAGAATTGGCCCCAATGGTTGTGACAGTATGGAATTCCATGAGAGTGGCTTGCTGCGGTTCAAGCAGGTGTCTGACATGGGCGTCATCCATCCCTTATATAAAAGCACTGTGGGAGGGAGACGGAATGAAGACTTGGTGATCACTGGGAATAATCAGCCTGTAAGTTATACCATGAATTGAAAGTGTGTGAGCAACACTAGAGAATTACACTCACATTGCTAATAAATGTTACATTTGAAACATCATTAAGTTCATGCCTTTGTTTCTGAAGATTGTATTTCAGCAAGGAACAACCAAGCTTAGCGTGGAAAAAGACAAAACTTCTATCACCAGCGATATTGGCATGGAATTTGTTGACCCACGAACACAAAATACTTTGTTCAGCACTGACTATGAAACTCATGAGTTTCATCTACCAAATGGAGTTAAAATCTTGAATGTGCAAAAGGCCTCTACAGAGAGGGTATGTTTCTTATTTTTTGTAAGTAATGAGAATAAAGCCCATTGCTAGTTTCTGTAAGAGTAGAGTAGAGTTAGTGGTTTATAGGGGGTTGAGTGTGCCTTTGGAAGCACTGAGCAATCCTGTTGCAGAAAAAACACACACAACTATAAATACATAGGAGGAACAGATTCAGTGAAAACAGAGGGGTAAATTTACATAATCTGTCTTAACAGGAAGCCTATATTTGGTACAAGTGGTAGCTGTGTATCCCATAAAAGATTAATTTTACATACCTTCCAAAATTCAGTGATCCTGTTTTGAAATTGACTGTGGAAAATAACAAATATGCAGAAGCTAGTGGGCAGGAGGGAAATTCAAGTTTTTTATTAAATTGCACAGCACTGCTTTCAAGGTAATTAAAGTTACTCAGACAAACACAAATGGCACGTTTTCACTAATCCATAATACAGGTTTGTTGGTTGTGTTCTTAGATTACCAGCAATGCAACCAGTGATCTAAACATAAAGGTTGATGGTCGTGCCATTGTCCGGGGAAATGAAGGTGTTTTCATCACAGGCAAGACAATTGAGTTTCGAATGGGTGGAAACATGGAACTTAAAGCAGTAAGTACTTCAAATCGAAGCAATTTTTTTTAACAGCTTAGTTTCAAATTTAGGCTGATAGTAAACTGATGTAGCTTTATATAGCTTCAAACTTTATATAAATTACTCATGCATAAAAGTCAGTATATTTAGTAGGATTTAAATAGATGATTTATTACTTTGCTGTTAAGTTGTGGTTGAGTAGGTTCAGGTAACATTGATTTACTACTATTAAGACACCTACTATGCAGTTAAAGCTAAGCTATTGACATGAATACCAAAGGGAGTTAATCTCCTCTGGAAGCTTAACCAGGGTGTACAACCTTTGCCAGACGAGCAGAGCATATAGTTTGGAGCATTACCTTCTGTGCTGCTGCTGTAAGACTCACTAGCATTCCTTTAAGATTTTTGGAGATTAAGATGGCAGTATATATGGAGCAATAGAAAAGAAGGATAAAAATAGAGGTATATGCACTTTCAAGTGTGAAGGAATTTCATGTATGAATTCAATTGCCTGTTTCATGTCCATATTTTACATTTACTGCAATTGCTAATAAGAATGAAAGATGAAAAGTCACCCTGCTGCTGTCCTTCTCTGTATCGATCCACCACTGGAGTAGCAAAGTACATTGCTCACTAGAAATCCATAGGCATCACTATAATTTTCATTAAAAAATTAAACATTTGTATACATACCTTTTTTATTATTGTTGATTCTACAGTCATCCTAGAGATGTTATTTATCCATTAAACCAGCTTGTCCTTCTCAAAAACAATCTGCCTTATTTACATGAGAAGTTGTAATTCTCCAATTTATTTTCTCCCCTCTCCTTAATAGGAAAACAGCATCATCCTGAACGGAAGTGTGATGGTCAGCCCAACACGGCTGCCGAGCTCTTCTTACGGGGATCAGTTCAACAATGGCAACTGGCTGCGCTTCAAGCTGTGCATGTGCGCTGACGGGACGCTCTTCAAGGTCCAGGTCACTGGGCACAACATGGGCTGCCAGACCTCTGCCAACCCCTGTGGAGCCACGCACTGAAACAGCTGCTCCTGGGACAGGCCTCCTTGGTGTTTACATAGAGCTGTAGGAAGTAATTGC